TCCGGAACATGCCCGTGTGTGGCCAGTGCTGTGGTTGTGGGTATTTACGGGTAGTCGATGACTACTTAGCTCAAAACCGAAAAAAATGTTTACAAAATTGGTAAATTATAGCAATCCAATCTTGAAAAAAAAAATTATATACGTTTAAATGAGAGAAAAACCGCACTCAAACGTTAAATATTAAAAATACACTGCACGTAAGTCGGTTGCCAGTGTTCGACACTTGCGTCCGCGATGAACAAGTTGGAGGAGAATTAAAAAAAAAAATTAAATGACTATCGTCTCTGAAGTACATGATCAGGTGTAAAATTTCACGCTGGTTAGCGCTCCTGGTAGACAAATTCAGGGAAGAAATGAAAGAAATTTAGATGGCTCCCTGATAAACATGTTCAGGTGAAATATGATCCAAATCGTTAAATTTGAAATGACTGCGCCTCTGACATCCACAGGGAAAACTAAATTTGACGTGGTTAGCATGATTAAAATCGTTAGCGAAATCACTTCAGAAGGTACTGAATCACTTCAGAAAAGTTTGGACTCACCTCGGAAAATGCTGAATAACTTTAGAAATGTTTTCAATCACTTCGGAAAATCCTGTATCACTTCGAAATGTATAAGAAATGTTCAAAATTATTTCGAAACGTATTGAAACGATTGAGAATAGTTTGGGATCACTCAAGAAAGCACTAAATCACTGTATAAATGTCACGTCATACTTCAGAAACATTCTAAATCACTTTGGAATGCCCTGAATCATTGAGGAAAGTTCACTTCGGAAATAATTGAATCACTTCGGAAAATACGGAATAACTTCAGGATTGTCGGAATCACTTTGGAAGTACTGAATTGCTTTAGAAAAGTTCATGATCACTTCGGAAAGTACTGAATCACTTCAGAAAAATTCGGATTCTATTCAAAAAGTAGAAAGTTTAAAATAGCTGAAAGTACTGAATCACTTCAGAAAAATTCATAATCTCTTCGAAATCACACTTGAATCACTTCAGACAATTTCAGATTCACTTTGGAAAGTACTACTACTAGTAAGAGCTGAATCACTTGTGAAAAGTTTGAAATCACTTCTGAAAGTACTGAACCTCTTCAGAAAACCTCGGAGATTCTTGAATGACTTAAGAAAATGTCTGAATCTCTTAGGAAAATACTGTATCTGTCCAGAAAGCTTGCGATCACTTCCGAAAGAACTGAATCATTTTGGGAAGAACAAAATCACTTCACAAAACCTCGGAAAGTTCTCTATCAATTCGCTCAAGTTTGCAATCAGTTCCTCAAGAACTGAATTACTTTGTTATAACTGAATCACTTCAGAATAGTTTGAAATCCCTTCAAAAAATGTTATATCACTCCAGAAAAATCCTACACGGCGAATGAGAACAACCCAAATTTGAGAATAGTTCACTAATAATCGTCAAAAGTGCAGGAACTCAGCGATGAGTCAAATTTTCTCATGGTTTCCTGTGGAAATCCTAAAAAATCTGCCGGAAAATGAGGAAATTGACGAAAATTTTATTCAGTCTCGGAGTAGTACCAATAGACTGAGTGAATCCAATCTTTACTTCTCTCAAATTCAGGAATTTTTCCCTGGAAATCCTGGAAAAACCTGGGAAAACATGAAGCAAATTTACTCATCGCTGAGTTCCTGCACTTTTGGCGATTATGAGTGAACTAAACTCAAATTTGGGTCGTTCTCATCCGCCGTGTAATTACTTTGCGGAGCACAGAATCATTCATAAAAAGTTATAAATCTCTTCGGAAAGTACGGAATTTTTTTTTAGACTATCACAGAATCTGTACTTTAAGACTGAATTACTGCATAAAAGCTTGAACGCACTTCAGAAAGTGCTGAATCACTTCGGTACTTACAGACATAAGTAAGCATGCGGTTGATATTCCGTTATTGCCAGGTCATCTGTGTTGCACAGAGAAGCAACAAACGATGCATGGAACTAGCATGCATCTGCATTGTGTAAAAACTAGTGATCTCCTACTTTACAATAGGCAATAACACCACCGGCCGCGTCCAAATGTAAGTCAATCAAGGAATGGAAATGAATGAGTTGACGTGATTCTAGCTCTATTGCAAACCGAGAAATTCTCCGCACATTCACGAATTTTTCAATACTTTTTCAATTAATTAATTAATTTAGCTTTATTTAGGAGGCTTTCAGCCTTAGGCTGGTTCGCCTCCATACTTTTTCAACAAGATTCACTTAAGGTAGTATTAGCATTCAATTGTGACACATCGAAATAGGTCTCGATTTTGACAACATAGATGAAGTATAGCCAACTCTCCACAGCTCGATGTCCACTAACTCGATATCGATTTATAGAACTGTCAAAGGATTTGGTTTTTTTTCTCAAAACTTTGTTTTGCCCACGGAAAATTTCTAGAAATGAATCACATTTTTTCCTAAAATTAGAAGAAACTCGAGTATGATATGAGATAAATATGTACACAAAAATGATGGTGCTTGGAAAACGCCGTTGATTTTGATGGAACTTTTAGAAATTAAGAATAATTTCAAGAAGGATAAAGGGACTTTGTAGATATTTAAGAAACTGAATGCCACCTTCGCCACCTGTAGAGTATGGTGCTGCTCATCGTGCAGCAGCGATAAAGTACAAATGTTTTGCGAAGTACCATATCAACTAGATAATACACTATTTTAAACAACGTCATCATTGTCAGGGGCGGACGCATCGCTATTATTTTAGGCAGATTTTTATTTCAAGTGCGCACCCAAGCAACATTGCAAGCTTTATTGAGGTTTTATAGCATGCTACAAGTCTAAATCATGGACTACAGAACCCTCATAAAACCCAAATTGTTACTTGGGCAGAGTGGGTTGTGTGCGACAACTTAGCTCACATTTAAGGAACACAGCACTGGTGTGGTCCACTGTACTCAATATTACCACCAATGACAATGTTTTTGAGTTCTAATGTTCGGGGTTCTACACATCAATCGCAGGATCGTTTTTGAGTCCATATGATATTGATCACTACTCTGGAGCAGGGTTGCTTCCACTCACTTGCTTTAAAAAAATATTTTTCGGAATTATGCAATCATTAGATGTTATAATGGTATGTTGTACTTTTAAGTAACAGGAAGAGGGTGTTAAGTATGTGTTTGACTCATAAAACCTGTCAATTTCGCTTTCAGAGCGTCAAAATCGGCGATCTTATGATTCGTGAGCGTTCACTCTGAGTGAGCGCTCACGAGTCGTGAAATCGCTGATTGTGACGCACTGAAAGCAATATTGACAGATTTTATGTGTCAAACATATACTTCATGACCTCTTCTTGTAACTTACAAATACTAATTAGCATTATACTATTTCATGATTTCATAATTCTGAAAAACATATTTTTATAGCAAGTGAGTGGAAGTAACCCTGCTCTGGAGGTACCCGGAACATTTTCGAATGTAGCCCTGAGCACACAACATGACTCCTATCGATCATATTTTCGGAATCTCATGTGATTTTATGAGCCAAATTATGGGTTTCTATCGGTTTTGATCATTTCCAAGCCTATGCACACCAGCCCTCTGGTCTCCGGAACTGTTCCGATCATATCATCGAAACCAGTTTACCGATTCTAAAGATATTCAGTCACGATCTATGTGACCACAGTACCTTTCACCTACCATTTGTTACGTCCAATTAAGTGCAGTGGTTGCTAAAAAGTCCGTCGTGGTCCGTGTAACCTCGTTGGTGGTCCTTCTTACCCCGTTTTTCGATCGTTCCAAAAATTGATGAAAAAGCCTTAAAAATGTGATAAATCAGACAATTTTATAACTTGGGTTCATAGAACCGCTTATTCATATGTAGCATAGCAAAATGCAAAATTCGTTACTCATGTTGAGCCACTAAATGTATTGCTTAGGGTGGCGGTCATATCCCGTCTTCTCCTTTCAGGTCTGCCATGCCAAATTCAAAAGTGCTGTGGGTATGATTTAATTCTACGGAATCAGGAAGCAAAAGCCCACCCACAATCGATTCGTTTGCGTTCCGTTGACAGATAGCCCGCTGGATAACTGTCAAATGCACTCAAACGCAAACGCAACGTATCCATTGTGGATGGCCCTTAGGGCTTCGAAAAGCCACTTTCAACTTCAGCAGACCATTTGGAAAATTTCCTCCTTCTATCGATTAACTTTGGAAGTAAAGCCCACAAATTGACCTGTCTGAATGGAGAAATTTCCACATGGATCAATTTTGTTTTCCAATCTACGTCAACCAGCTGACGGCTGGGGTGACGATAGTATTCACCATCTCTGTTCATCTCTCACGATCGCGATGTGCCTCTCTCTTTCTCTCTCACTCGTACTGTTTGTGCTCATTCTGTCAGCGCAAACCGTGTTATGATTGTATGTTTTGGCCTGTAGTGCAAATTTTCCTACAAACTCACCATCATTGCCCAGTCGCGCCAGAGAGTTGCGTCGTATGTTTGTACGAGTTTGTTGAATTTTCCCACCACCCAGAAACGTGAGAGCGTGGTGAGCTCCACAGCCTGACAGTTGTTCTATTTTTTCGTCTTATTCACAGCGTAGAGTAAGAAACGAACGGGAGGACGACGATCAGTAGTGATCTATGCGCAAAAAAAAAAGAACGAACGAAAGACGGTCACAGTGATTTGATACTTGATGCTGAAGGGATTACGCCGCCGCGGCTTGTAGCTCTGTGGAAGTGTTTGGGGAGTCACACTTGCCTAGTAGAAACAGAAAACGTGGACAGGTGGTCAATAAAAAAAAAGTTCACAGTGTGACCCTTTGCCTAGTCTCCGTTGTTTTTTTTTTCGTCTCTCCAAGTAAGATAGAAAATCACAAGAAAAAGTGCTGAGTGCGTGCGTGAAAAAAGGAAAGCGCGAGAGATGAAAACGGAAAATTTATGAGTTTATTTATGTAACACATAATAATAGAGAAAATTTGCTCTTGAATGAAAAAAAAGTAAAAAAATGTGATTTTGGTCTTCTTGTTGCAGGAGTAAATTTTCGAGTGTTTCAGCTTTGAAGAGTGCAGAGTGTGTATAAAGCTAGTGGCTCGTAAAAAGGAAAACGATATTGCGAAAAATTTGCAGCTGAGCTAAGATATAAAAAAAAAGTGAAACAGAGTGAGTGAGCAGTGAGTTTCCATCTGCAGCTGATCGGTGAGAAATTGAAGCAAGGATTAGTCGCTGGCGCCATGGCGGACACCTACGATGAATATGAAGAAACGCACACCGTTACGAGGAATTCGGTGACCACCTTCAAGATTGAGGAAGTAAGTAGAACGTAAATATGAGTTCTTTCTTAATAGCTTTGATATTGGGAACATAATTGTTGGGGTTATGCATGAACTGTACAGTGCTGCCATCTGTGGGTAAGTTAGGTCCATTGGCTGTTTCTGTTTATATAGACATTTATTGATAACTGTACGGTAGCGATTGCTGGTAAAGGGGATTATTTACCACCCTGAAATTTAATGGTTTGTTAATCGTTGCACAAACAGAAATCTGAATTATGCATTTTAAGAACTACCATCACCATTGCTTTGTCCTTTTGAAAGATTTAGGTTAACTGGCAATGAAAAGCAAATCGTCAAAGAAAGAAAAGAACACATTCAAGAAAACTTCAGAAAGAAATTGGGACTCCTTGTGGATTTTCCAAAACCAGACTTTGGAAATTTGGATGGCAACACTAGTCTAAGATTCTTTGCTGATCCGGAAACCGCTGCTCAAATAACAGGTTTGATTTTAAGTTGATCTACCGGCTTAAAGTTATATTGGAGACACTAGCTAGTGGTTTTAAAATTGATACGGAAAAATTTACTCAAAAAAAAAAAGCGGAGACATACGACTGTATCCATGGTATCCGATGACTCCAATTCTGCATAAAGTCTTAATCCACATTTATAGAACATGTACTGCTACCAATAGGGCAGTTGTCAGAAGAAGCTATAACGTGGATGTACTGAATAGACTTCTGCTTAGTTCTGTCCTGAAATCACAGGTAAACAACGTAATTATTATCATACGTGAAAGTAAATAAATCCTTTGGTTTGTTTTTTTCCGTCGATCTTGTTTTCCGTGCTGAGCACCAATGCTACCGACGTGCCAGGAAGGCAGCTCCCACACCTGGACCCTACCTATCGACCCATCAACTCATGAACCGGGGACCAACGGCTTTACTTCCCATCCGAAGGAAGGCGTGATCAGAGATGTTATGCCTCAGAACATCCCGGCGGCGCCGACTGGGATTGAACCCAGGCCTGCTGGGGTGAGAGGTAATCACGCTTACCACTACACCACCGGTGCCGTTAAAAGTAAATAAGTATTATTTAAGGATTACTAAGATCCCCGCGAAAAAAGTCAAGGGTTTTGACGACAGCAACATTGCAAATGTTACTCTCAGAGGACTTCATGCAAGAAAGCGAAGATCGGCTGGAAAACATTAGAGATGGAAGAAACATATGAAACAAACGTTTCTAATGAACAAGAAAATGTCTTCTCAAATTAATTTTTTTCGTTTAATTTCATTTGCTTTTCAACTTGTTTTTTTGTTTTTGTTTTTGAATTGTTAAATATGTTGTTGCTGCGTAATACTCAGGGTAATATAACTATTTTCTTAAGGTGAAAGTTGATGGAATCCACAAATGGCCGCTATAATGTTTATTTTGCCTTGCCACTTTGAATTTTTGGCGCCTCGAATTTCCGAAACTACAAAGTTTCCGTGCATGAAATTGTAATGACATGTATGCTGCAGTTCAGCAAAAGAGTGATTATAATTTGGCACACGAAATCCTTTTAGTTTCTGAGATCGTTGCCGCCAAAAATTCGAAGTGGTAAGGCAAAATAAACAAAATAGCCATTTGTGGATTCTATCGATTTGCGCCTTAAATCTCAAATCTAAATATAAATATCTTGTTCTTTTTTAGCTTAACTTATTTTACAATGACTGATTGTAAAACGTAAAAAAAAATCTTCAATATTTTATTTACCTATAATTTTTTAGCGCTGCAGCCAAAATAATAGCATCATTTTTAGCAGATTTTCATGTAAATTAGCCTACTTTTATGTAATTTTATTTTGTTATATTCAATTAAGCTAATATTGTTATGTAGAGCCAAACTGTGGTGAATTTTGCTTGTACAAAAAATAATTTAATATAAGGATCTTGAAATGTTTCGAATATCAAAAACGCTATTATTTTAAACATTTATAACCATATTGCCAATTTCTCCACGAGTTTCAAAAAGTTCACGGAACATTCAGCGTATTTGTGGTTCGGTGTCAACATTTCAGCTCAATTGATCATAACAGAACAAAGTTACAACATGTCAAATTTGGCAAGTTTGTAAATAAAGTTCGACCTTTCGTGCTTTTTTATTGACCGCAGGTGTAAGTGTATTTTTATATTTTTTATTTAAAATATTATTAGTTCCCAACATTTCATCCTTTGACGGTAACTTAATCCGAAGTAAGTTAAGTATTGTTATTAACAATAATACAAAACATGTCCTTTTTTAATCAAACAATTTTATAATCCTTGAATAATAAGATGTATGTGACAAGTTAGAGCGGTTAAATATTTTTGGCCAGCTAGAATTAATAAATACCCCACTGTGCGTCGATGGGATACCCGTTTGTGAGATGAATGTTGGCTCGTCTGAGAACCAAACGAAGTACAGCTGGATGGTTTTTGCTCTTAAGGAGCAAGCGTTCCAGGTGACGATAGTTATCCAAACCGATACTTGATGATAATCTTACTAAGTACTTGGATCTGCTCGGGCTTATTGCGGCAGTTACGAAGAGCACCGGTCATGTTGCCGAAAATTACCATCAGTTCATCCACTGAGAACAGATTGTGATTGTTGGTTGTCTCCAGAATCCAGAGCTTTGTCCAGCAGAAGATCCAGACGTTTGTGGTGGAAGCGATTTGACAGAACCTTTTGTAGACGAACTTTTCGGCTGCTCTCCCTCTGCCACTATCCTTGCGTAATCAGTTTTCACCGACCTCTGATCAGATCGATGATATCCGTGCGAGAGAATATAGATTCATTCCATCCGTACGCTCTTGTGATTAGTTCGTGAAATATTCCTATTTTGTTCGTTAAATTTCTTAATTGTTTAACTATTTTCACTATTTGTACTACACACCAAAAAATGTCTGAATAGTGTCTCCGTCGAAAGACATGCTGCTTGACATATTTCCCATTAATGGTTTTGAAAAATAGGCGTTTGAAAACACTCCCCATTTGTGTTTCAAACCTCATTTTCAATTTCGTAATGTGACCCCTAGTATAAAAAAGAACGACGTTGTCCTACGTCTAACAAATTTCGATTAGTTTCACTCAATTTGGCTTCTTATTTTTTTACAATTAATTTATTTTTCAATTTAAAAATATGGAACCTTTACGGAACTGAAATTCTATATATGTTGTACAATGTTTCTAGCCTTCGCTTGGGAAACCATTTTTTAATCCGAGGTCCGGAGAGCCGAGAGTCTTATACCATTCGACTCAGCTTGAAGAGATCGGAAAATGTCGGAATGTGCGTGTGTACGTGTGTAAAAACATATTATGACTCGTGTTTCTCGGCAACCACTGCACTTAATTGGACGCAGCAACCAACAAATGAAAGGGGTCATGATCTCATGGAGAGATATTGTTTTTTTTTTAATCAGTAAACTGGTTCCGTAGATATGGCCGGAATATGTTCCATATTGTATGGACCATAAGCAAGGAATCAAGCATATCTCCAAATGTCAAAATGACAAGCGATCAACGAGCTGAACGATAACGCTATGTCAGAAATTAAAAGCAATAATGATATAATATTGTTTTTCCTTTTTTATGACAAACTGCCTCTGGAATATAGCTCGCTCGGGCCGGATGAAGGTATTGATCAAATTGTTGGCAAGCTGCTTCAAGAAAGTAGCGCCGAAGATGACACACGTGTGGTGATGGGAACTTTTTTGTTACCGTAAAACGGGGTAACATTGATAGTTTTTTAAAGTATATTCTAAATACCTTTTTACAGCAATGACTGTTTTTCAAATTTTATATTTTTAAAACAAGAACTGAGGATCCAAGAGTTAATTCGTCAGTAATATGTTGAACGAAAATTAAAGCATGTTTGCGAGCAACACGAAACACAACGGATGCAGTCAGCCGGACTGACTGAGTTTTGGTACTTCACGTTGCTACCAATTGGTTGAGTGTGGTGACTAGTGGAAGTGAACCGATTCACCGTTGTCACTCACTACTACGTACGAACTCCATGGAGAAGGAGGGAGTTTCTCGTCGAAGAGTGTGGGAAATAGAATATAAGATCAAGTTGTAAACATTGTAGGTTGTAGTATTAGAAATCAGTCCAAAATAGCAATCATCGCGATCGGTCGACCGGGGGCGAACCGGAACAATAATTTGTCTAGTTATAAGTAATATATGTAAGGTAATTAAATAAAATCAATTAGTGTTTTTAGTGAAAATAAATTGTGTGGAAATTGGTGTACTGTTCTGTTTGCGAAGGAAGGTCTACGGATGACGGAAGTCAACAGGATAAAATAAGGAAGATAGAACGAACGTTCGCCTGGCAGTGGAAGTCATCAACAATCGGTCGGGACGGTCCTCAACAAAGCATTTGCACTATTTTTTTAGTTTTGTGACCGAACTTCAGTATTTTGATTTGGGGTTACTTTGATAATGCTCGATGGATGTAGAAAAAATGACTGAAATTAAACAATTTAGTTCTTTTATTATGAAACTTTGAATGAGTATATAATCAGAAAACATCATAAGCAATAAGAATACAACATTGAATTTGTGATGGCTGTATCGGAAAAAAACATTTCATAAGGGGTCGTTCATTAATTATGTCACACATTTAGGGGAAGGGGGGTTTTTGAAAACTGTGACGAACCATACAAAAAAAAATTAAGTTTCATACAAAAAATGTGACAACGGGGGAGGGGGGTTGAAAATGGGCCAAATTTGCGTGACATAATTAATGCACCATCCCTAAGTGATGATTTGAGTGCTTTTTTCAAAAAGGCGAAACGGTTGAAAATGGTTTTTTAATATTTTTGTAAAATATGTAACACATACTATACAAAAACTATATACCATATCAACAGAAATACCCTAAGCTACAATATGGAACCAATGTTTCTTATTTTGAAAAAGCACAGCGAGTAAATTTATTCTTTATATTATACTATCAAAGTTACACGCATTATCAAAGATACCCCGTTTTACGGTACGTCTTTTCTCGATTCCGATCA